TTGTGAGTTGCCATGTGAGTGCTGGTGATCAAACCCAGGTCCTTCGGGAGAGCAGCCATGCACTTGACAGCCAAACCATCTCTCCAACCCGCAGACTCACAAACTAAAGACAGCTAACAACCAAAAGCAACCTTTTTCAGGAAGCAACCCATTTTTACTTTTATCAAAATATTGTTTGATATCTTCTCTTTGATGGTTCTCTTTTCTGTTACATTTGCTACTTTTCTGTTTTTTCGAAACAGGGTTTCTCTGTATTGTTTTGGAGGCTATCCTAGAACTCACTCTGTAGACCAAGATGGCCTTGAACTCACAGAGATCCACCTGCCCCTGCCTCCCAAGTGCTGGGATTAAAGGCTTGTGCCAACAATACCCGGCTTGTTTTGCTTTTTTTTTATTTTAGTGAGTTTATTTTTGAAGGAACATGTTTTCAAAGTGAAAATATAGAAGAGATAAAGCTAATGATTTTAATGGTTACAATGTATATGGGGCCCAAAAAATGATTATTTCATAGGTAGATTTTGTTCATGTTACTGGATGGAAACAAAACAGTATTATATTTCATGGTTTTGATGTCAACATAAAAAGCTACTTTTGTTATGGTGACATCAAGCAGTCTGAATTATAAAATAAGGGTGTCAGTGGATTTAGGACAACACTACAACAACCATGATTTGTCAGTATTATGTGATGTTTTAGAGTTTAAACTTTAATTGTTTTATAGCTCTAAAGTGCACAATTAAAAATCTTACTTGCAGCCTGGCAGTGGTAGCACATGCCTTTCATCCCAGCACTTGGGAGGCAGGTGGATCTCTCAGTTCAAGGCCAGCCTGGTCTACAGAGTGAGTTCTAGGGCAGCCAGGACTACACAGAAAAATCTTGTCTCAAAAACTAGCCAACCAAACAAAAAATCTTATTTACATCTCAAAGTCTTATAAATTCACTGTATCATATTATAAAATAATTTCATGTACATATTATTATTGTAATGTCAAGATATAGCACATCATTAGAATTTTACAAAATGATATACTCATTGGATACAAGAACAAAGAAAATTAGTAAAGTGCTCAGAAATTGGTGTGTTGTGATATTTACATAATATATGTATTATTTCATATTAAGAAAAGTCAATGAGCCATAGCTTAATTTATCAGGCTGTGATAATTTTTAAGTGTCCAAGCAAAAAAAATAGATGATGCAGCATGATTTCATTTACATAAAAACTTAAGAAGTTCAAAACTAAACAAAGAAAAACTACATGTAAAAAAGGAACTGACTTCAAACATGAAATTTGAGATAGTTACTTCTTGGAGGAGGAATAAATGCTAAAGGATGGCACAGGAGGAAATGTCTGTGTGGTGCTCTACTCTTCACTCCAGAGACTCAGGTACCTCAGTATTTACTACCCACCCACTCCACACTGCACAGTGGAGTACCCACCCCAACCCACACTGCACAGTGGAGTACCCACCCCAACCCACACTGCACAGTGGAGTACCCACCCTGCACCACACTGCACAGTGGAGTACCCACCCTGCACCACACTGCACAGTGGAGTACCCACCCCACCCCACACTGTACAGTGAACTACCCACCCCACACCACACTGCACAGTGGAGTACCCACCCCACCCCACACTGCACAGTGGAGTACCCACCCCACCCCACACTGCACAGTGGAGTACCCACCCTGCACCACACTGCACAGTGGAGTACCCACCCCAACCCACACTGCACAGTGGAGTACCCACCCCACCCCACACTGCACAGTGGAGTACCCACCCCACACCACACTGCACAGTGGAGTACCCACCCCGCACCACACTGCACAGTGGAGTACCCACCCCACCCCACACTGCACAGTGGAGTACCCACCCCACCCCACACTGCACAGTGGAGTACCCACCCCACACCACACTGCACAGTGGAGTACCCACCCTGCACCACACTGCACAGTGGAGTACCCACCCCACCCCACACTGTACAGTGAACTACCCACCCCACACCACACTGCACAGTGGAGTACCCACCCCACCCCACACTGCACAGTGGAGTACCCACCCCACCCCACACTGCACAGTAGAGTACCCACCCCACCCCACACTGCACAGTAGAGTACCCACCCTACACCACCCCACACTGCACAGTGGATTACCCACCCCACACTGCACAGTGGAGTACCCACCCTGCACCACACTGCACAGTAAAGTACCCACCCCACACCACACTGCACAGTGGAGTACCCACCCCACCCCACACTGCACAGTGGAGTACCCACCCCACCCCACACCACACTGCACAGTGGAGTACCCACCCCACCCCACACTGCACAGTGGAGTACCCACCCCACCCCACACTGCACAGTGGAGTACCCACCCCACACCACACTGCACAGTGGAGTACCCACCCCACACCACACTGCACAGTGGAGTACCCACCCTGCACCACACTGCACAGTGAACTACCCACCCCACACCACACTGCACAGTGGAGTACCCACCCCACCCCACACTGCACAGTGGAGTACCCACCCCACCCCACACTGCACAGTGGAGTACCCACCCCACCCCACACTGCACAGTGGAGTACCCACCCCACCCCACACTGCACAGTGGAGTACCCACCCCAACCCACACTGCACAGTGGAGTACCCACCCCACCCCACACTGCACAGTGGAGTACCCACCCTGCACCACACTGCATAGTGGAGATGAGAAAGTGGGATCATGCAGCATTTGGCAGCACTACACCTTGGTTAGAACTGGAGACTGGTAGATGGGGAGAAGTGTGGGTACTTGGAGAAGCTTTGCTATGAATAGGAAACTATGCACAGAACACCTACATGCCACAGGATGCCAGGCTGCCTTGAAGAAGCTGAAGAAACAGGAGTGGAATGAGGCAAGATATCAGAATGAAGCACACTATCAGAGCTACAGGAAAACAACACAGGCTCATCTGGACACTACCCCTTGAAAGGAGGACTACCACCTAATCACACAGGAGAGTGAGCAAACACTGCTGCTCATCTGCCCTTTACAAGAACGAGCTTAAGTCAGGCATAGCAGCCACACCTTTAATCCTAGGTGAATCTCTGTGAGTTTGTGGCCAGCATGGTCTGCATAGGGCATTCCAGGCCAGCCAGGGCTACACAGTGAGACCCTGTCTCAAAACAAACAGAACAGAAAAGCTGAGGGGTGTTGGGGAACCAGAGGTTAAATGAAGATACCAGATAACCATTTAGACACCGAGAACAGCTGGGTGCAAAGCAGGCAGACACAGCGTTTTCTCTCTACTGCCAGACTTCTGAAAACTGTCCCTCAGGACTCCATCTGTTATGGAACCCAGTTACCTTATAGCATTATTTTCCTTTTGTTAGCTCATTTATTTGTTTAAAGATACAGTCTCACTATGTAGCACAGGCTGATGTCAAGTTCACAATCCTCCTGCCTCAGCTTCCCAGGTACTGGAACCACAGGTGTGTGCCACCACACCTTTTTCCTTGTCCTGTTTAATTCTACCCCATCTGGCTGTACACGAGTGTGCAGTAGTTATTTTATGCTGTACGTTACTCAGATCTCATATGCTCTTCCATTAGTTTGTTGAGTATAAAAACCAACTATTTTAACGTTATCCTGTTATTTTTGAAAGTGCATTTTCATGCACACAGCAGCATTAGAATAATTTTCTAAGTTTATCCACTGAAGCAAATATTCTGAAATGATAGACTATATACAAAAATACCCACAGAGCCTTGAGTCCCCATCATTATAAACTGCTTCAGGATTTTCATTTATGGCTTTTTTTTTTAAGACAGGATCTCATGTATCCCAGGCTGGCCTCAAACTATATAGCTAAATATGACTTTTAAGAACTGCCTCCACTTTCCTATGTGCTAGGGATAGAACCCAGGGTTTTGTGCATGCTACGCAAGCATGTACCAGGGGCATTCTCAGCCTCCATTATAGGCTTTAGAACTACATTTTAGAAGCCAAGCCAGAGATCTGATGTTAACATGTAATTGGTTTAATTTCAAACTTGTTCCTTGCCCATTAAAACTATTAATGGTTTTCATCATTCTAATTTTTAATGTTATGTCTCTGTAAGGTAGCTAGAAGCAGAATGTCTTCAGCAAAGACACATTCTGCAAGGAATGCCATCTTGTGGTGGAGAACAGCCCATTGCACTCCAGGTCAGTGACAATGTTTAATCCAGAAAGTGAACATTCAGGAAATATACACAGAGATCACAGTTAAAATCACTGCCACTACACAGCAATGGACATTAAACATTTGCTTCAATTTGTGTGGATTTAGGTGCCCAAACACCATTAAAAGTGAGACAAATAGGAACAGACTTCAAATAATACAGAAAAGCTGCTGTCTACAATTGTACTTTTATTAAAACTTTTTTAGCATTACTGACTTCGGAACACCTTCCTCTGAAGTAGGTGATTTTATTTCTGTGTCTACTACTCCCCAGTTCTGCTAAATGTCATCATGATTTTCAAACTTCATCAACTTAATTACAAACATTCTAAGAGCAGTGAATGGCCTGCCAACTCTCTAACTGGATAGTGTGGGAAATATGCACGCAACTATTGTCCAAAATGGAATCTGAAAGGGTTAAAAAATGATGAATCTAATCTTAGTGATCTTACTACTTCCTCTATGTGAGTTAACTATCTCAAGCAGCAAACTGTTTCAACAATAAACAATAAATGACTATAGATGCAGTACTTAACTGTACTTAAAATACTCTTAAATGTAAAGCTAAACACCAGATATTTTGTTCCTTTCAGAAGTGTGGGGGGGGGACTGCCATACCCACCATGAGCAGAGAATAAAGTTTGATGGCACAAGGTTCCGGGGCTATGCTGGTATCTATCTCTTCTGGAGGACCTGAGGGAAGTACCCTGCAGGTGTCCCAGGGATCAGGACACTGAAATTCCAACAGATCCACACATCAACATTTACACAAAACAAAATGCTACTGCAGTCCAAATAGACTCTTGAGATTTATTTTTGCTTCTTACCAAGAAAAACACTCTACTCAGACTTCCTTATGAATCGATTTTGGATCAGTTTTTCCACATGACTCTTCAGGACACTGACATCAGCTGCACAAACCTGGTAATCCATCTTCCCTTTCTGCTTCATTCTCTCTAATAAAGCCTCATGAGGAGGTGGTAATGCATTGTATGAGCCCAGTAAGTAAAGCTGGCTTGACGATGTCTCATTGAGTTCTTTAATCTTCAGTGCCTGCATGATAGCAGGTGCAAACTTGGAGTAGTGAGCAGTCGATGAGATGATCACTGGGCAGGTTTTGTCTTGCATCCTGTCTGCAACCACCTTTGCGACAGCGGTATGTGGATCCAAAATATACCCCAATGAGTTGTAGGTAGTGCTGATGGCTTCGAGGCATTCTCCCTCAGAACACCAATCAGCCACAAAATCCTGCTGCAGCTTCTCTATGAGCATCTTCTCTATTTGGAAGTGAAGCTGACTCTCTAACTGATTAAATAAATTTGACATTAACTGTCCATCTTTGTTAGCCATCAAGTATAAATGTCGTTCCAGGTTTGAAGATTTGAGAATATCTATTGATGGTGAAAAAGTCTGTGCTAATTTCCTATCCCTCAGATCATAATGTCCAGTTTTTATGAAATCAGTCAAAACATGGTTCTGGTTAGAGGCACAGATAAATTTCCGAATAGGGATTCCCATCATCTTGGCATACACTGCTGCTAATATGTTCCCAAAGTTTCCTGTGGGAATACAGACATCCACTGGGCTTCCAAAAGAAATAAACCCTTGGCCAACAAGATCAAGATAGGCAGAGGCATGGTAAACTACCTGGGGAAGAAGTCGAGCCCAATTTATAGAATTAGCTGAACTTAAGATTGTTCCATATTCCACAGTCAGAAAGCCAGTAAAATCAGAATCGTTAAATATTTTTTTTAGAGCTGTCTGGCAAAAATCGAAATCCGACCTTACACCTATTGCCCATCCATTTTCTCTCTGACTGCTAACTATCTGTGCTTTTTGAAAATTACTAACTCCATTCTCTGGGAAAAATGTGACCACAGCTATCCTTTGCTTGTCATTTTTATTAAGGTGGCTAAAACCATTTAAGACTGCACTCCCTGTGTCTCCTGAAGTAGCTACAAGTATCACATAATTGCAACTTGGAGGGATACAGTAGGCAAAAATATGAGGCATAAGCTGCAAAGACAAATCTTTAAAAGACCCTGTTGGCCCATAGAACAACTCCAGAATGAACTGATTGCCTGAAAGGTGCCTGACGGGGGCAATTTTGGAGCAGGCAAAATTGTCCCCATAAGCAGTTTCAATCATTTCTCCCAATTTGGTGGCAGGTATGTCTGCAGGGTGAATACACCTTTCCAGAAGTATCTGTGCTCTTTCTACATAGGTTGCTCCTATTAGGCTTTTCCACTCCCCACAGCTTAATTTTGGAAACTCCTTCTCAGGTACAAAGAGTCCACCATCGGAAGCCAATCCCTCTATTACAGCTTCACTAAAGTATTTTGGTGGAAACCTCTTGTCATGGTCTTTAGGACAAACGTGCCTTGTTGAAATGAATGTGTCTGAATCCAAATCTTGGTATCTTTTCACTGCATCCAACACTTTGTCAGCAACCTCCTCAGGGGAAGCCCCGCTCTCACAAAAGACTCGAGCATCGTACCACTTCTTATAGTACAGTCTTCTGTGTTTCAGCAAGTCTCTCATAGAAGTTCCAGAGTTCTGACCAACAATCCTATCAATTTTCATTGATTTCAGACGACTAATTATATCTACTAGAGGAACATCCAGGTATACAACAATTCCGTTTTTCTTCAGATGCCACATACTAGCATCATGCATGGGATTGGACCCACTGAGGGAAATCACACTTCCAGATGCAGACAAGTTTAACATGGCTTTTCCTTCTTCTTCTAAAAATCGCTCATTGCCTACATTATGCAATTTTTCAGAAGCACTCATATTCCAGGTTTTCTCAAGGATATCATCGTCCACATCGATGACACAACAACCTAGTTTGTGACCTATTATCCTGCCTACTGTCGTTTTCCCTGCACCAGGAGGCCCCATCAGGATAATATTTTTGTCTCCAACAAGAGAGTGCGTTGAGTGCCATGACTTCCCTGATTCTGAACATGCAAAGGTTCGTGAAAGCAAGAGTTGTTTACGAGTCAGCACTTTAACTGGTACATTAGAAAAACACTTCTGCGTTATCTGTTTCAAATGTTGACATCTGGTAAAGTTCAGCATTTCTTTTCACTTTTCTGCTTAGCCCTTTTCAAGACATAAAATTTAAAAAAAGAAAAAGAAAACAGACATTTGGTTACTTATTTCAAGAAATGGTTAACATCTGATAGGATTGGATATATCCATGCCCTCAACACATAAGATGATCAAAATATTTCAAACTGATGGGACACTTAAGTAGTATAATAGACACACAGTATACTACCCTTCTTAATAAACTGATATAATTATGACATATTAATTACACGAAGTAATGAGCCTCACTGTGCCACTCCCATCATGATTTTATTAAGTTCTGATTACCCTTTCTCCACCCTTCCCACACCCTCGGCTCCCATTCCCTCCCCCCAGTCCTTCTTCTACTATTACGTCTATTTGGTTGTCTGAGAAAAAACACACAATATTTGTTAATATCTTTTCAAATTTCAAGACATCAATAAAATAAAAACTTTTAAAAAAATGTGTATGACTCCCAGTATGATAAAAAGCAAATAATAACAGTAGAAATCTTATTCAGAAAACATCATATCACAGAATCTTTATAAAAACACAGTATTGGGCCAGGTGGTGGTGGTGGTGGTGATGGTGCACGCCTTTAATCCCAGCACTTGGGAGGCAGAGGCAGGGGGATCTCTGTGAGTTCAAAACTAGCCTGGTCTACAAGAGCTAGTTCCAGTTCCAGGACAGGCTACAAAACTACACAGAGAAACCCTGTCTGGGGGGTGGGGGAGGCAGACTAAACTATTAGTATCTCTCTCTTTTTTAAAAAAATTTATTTATTGTGTATACAGCCTTCTGCCTGCATGCTAGCAGAGGGCACCAGATCTCATTCAAGGTGGTTGTGAGCCACCATGTGGTTGCCGGGAATTGAACTCAGGACCTCTGGAAGAACAGTCAGTGTTCTTAACTGCTGAGCCATCTCTCCAGCCCCACTATCTCTCTTACTTGTAGGAACAATTTAACAAATACTAGGTCATGATTTGTTGACTTATAACACATACAGAGAATATATGAAGTTATAGTGATAATCACTTGCAATCCATAAAAGCTGAGCGACGCTCTTAATATTCAACTCATCTTTATGATCATCTTGATAAACTATCATTATTTATTAATTTCTCATAAAAATCTATAGCAGGAAACCAGAATAAACAAACAATTTTCTAAACTGCAAGTCTAAGTGTGCCCTTTTCTTCCCGATGTCTTTAACCTGCAAACTGTGAAGGCTCACATTGACGTATTTTCATATTTGATGCCTTTAAAAGGCCACAGTGAAGTGGATAATGTACCAAAATTAATAAAGATTAATGAATGAGGTTTTTGCTTTCGTTTGTATCCCTGTAAGCATCATCAATGGTGGGACTTAATTCTAGACTTCAGAGAAGTAAAGAAATTCATGAAGGTACTCAATGATGAAAATAAAACCTTTTGGGCATATGGTGATCTACAATTGTCCATATGGATTTAGTCCCTGTCTTTTGAAATATTCTCATCCTTAAAAACAAGATGTGCCAGGTATCAAATACTTTGTTATAACAAAAATAAAATTCACTTTAATAACTTGCAATATTTTTTTGGTGTTTTGAGACAGGGTTTCTCTGTATTGTTTTGGAGGCTGTCCTGGAACTCACTCTGTAGACCAGGCTGGCCTCGAACTCACAGAAATCCACCTGCCTCCCGAGTGCTGGGATTAAGGGCGTGCACTACCCTGCAATATTTCTTAAATTGACTGAGGTAACTTCACAGGTACAAAGTGGGAGCTTTTTACATGCTCTCTGATAGAACTAACATTCAGCTAAATGATATCAAGTATTAAGTGGCATATTTAATTATAAAAAAATTTCCAACAGTATACTGCTACTGATACTACCTAAACTCTGTTTTGCAATAAAATCTTTAGACCATTTTTTAAAAGCTAACTCTGAATTTTACTTACAAGCACTTTGACCTATCAAGAGAAAGAATTCATTTCCTTATTTGCTTCATTTGGTGCTGTGCTTAACTCCACTGAAGTATAAACACAAAGTAACAGGAACCATAGATGAAGAGTCTAGTAAGTCTGAGGCAGGGCCAATATTTGTAGAACATAGGGTCTACAATGAAAAAGTTTCAAGTTAATCAGAATTTTATACAGTATCATAAAATTTCATGCATAATATTTCAAGATGGCACCTGAAATTGTAAATCACAAGAAATTTATTTCTTCATGTTGCTAAAATCTATTATTGAATGTTTAAGATATTGGGCTTTCCTTTATTGCAACTTACAGTATAATAGCAAAGCATTATGCTAACAGTAACAAAGGTATTTTTGCCATCAAGCAATAAAAGACAACATAACCAGGACTGGAGAGATGACTCAGAAGAGAACTTGTTTTTGCAGAGGACCAGGATTTGATCCCAGCACCCTCACAGCAGCTCACAACCATCTATAATTCTAGTTTCAAGGGATCTAGTACCCTCTTCTCACCTCTATGGGCACCAAATAGGCACATGATACACAGATATCTGGGTGAGCAAAACACTCATACACATAAAATAAATTTAAATAAGAAAGACAGCATAACCAAATAGTAACAATTGCAAAATCTTTCACAGTAACATCCTATTTTAATCATTCAATTTGGTGTTTAATGAGGGGAATACCAATGAACTGTGAAATGGGGACCTAAATTGTTCTTTCAGATTTTCTTACCCATCCAAATTATCATGAAAAGCTTGTAAGCACCTGCCACCCACACATACATCTTAGCTACTGAAATAGGTCTGTGATAAATTCAAAGTGCATATTCTGGTAACTAGCACAAAATAGAAATACTAATCATTGCCATTCAATGACAAACATCAAAGAATTTAAAGACCAAGCCAAATTATGCAGGGATAAGGCTAAGCATATCATTTATAAATTTTCAGAGAAAACAGTGGTGCTTACCCCAAATTACAAACAGTTCTGCCATGCAGTCTGATATATTCTCTGGAGTAAAGCAAAGCCTAGAGAAAATTTTAACTTAAATCACTCAACAATTTATAGAAGTGTACTCTGGTACTGTGTTAGCACTACCTGTTTTTTAAGGGCACTGTACAAAACAGTATCCTTTAATCTTCTTTTATGCACAGGTATACTCTTAACTACTTAACATATGAATATTATACTTAACATATGAATCAAACAACTCTCTCTCTCTCTCTCTCACACACACACACACACACACACACACACACACACACACACACACCAGAAAAACTATGGAATACCTAAGTAACTGAGTTTTTTTTGTATTGTTTTCATGAACAATAACCTTCCATGTTTGATTCAGCTTTATACTGGCTGTGTGATATCCATTCCATAAAGAGCAGACCATGGAAAAACAAACAATATGCACATTAACTATGCTCTCCAGTCTTCTTGGCCTTACCTCACCCATGCTCTCATCTTAAACTTTATCTCATGTCCTCTTTCCAAATGACACTGGGAGTGCAAAGTAAAAAGAGACTATTATGGAGTTCAGTTTATTAATTTTGCTTCAGTATCATTTCACAGCCAATCAGTATCATTAGACTAGCAGAAGGCAGGCAAGTGCTGTGACAAATGTTTCTAAAGGAAGAATTTTGTTTTAAACTACATACTGAATTTTGTTTTGTAATATTTAGCCATAAAAATAACTCTGGAGCCTCTCTGCCCAAGTTTTAGTTAGGCTAATTAAAAGACAAATGAAGATGGACTAATTCCCCACTGTTGAATATTTACCTGTAAACTGAGTCTTAACTACAGTTGCTTCTCATTCAAGTAGTTAGGTTCTGCAATGCCCTGAACTGGAAGCAAGGCCACTATTCACTCTTAGGTGAAATGCTGGGTTGGGTTCCTATGAGCCTTTACTTTCAATCCTAACGTTACTATGTGCATATCTGCCCAATGACATTACACACACTGCTTATTAACACTATGAACTAAGTCAAAAGTACTCTAACTCATACCTGTATGAAGCTCATCTTACATACCTGTTTTCTCTGTGAAACACACCAGTCTCTTCATACTTGGAACTACTATAGAGTACTTGAGTACTGAGTTTGGGAACTTGTTTGTGTAGCCACTGAAACTATAAGAATGCAAAACATGTGTCACTAAGCAAAATATAAAAACAGTATCTGTTACTGAAACCCCAAACAAGACAACAAACACCTTGTTTGATTTCATCTGGGAATGTGCACATATCACACTTCAAAATTCTCACTGCCATACACACATTCATGAATGACTAAAAATGTGCAGCCAAGTACTGATTTGGGGGATTATGAATAAACTTGAGCAAACAGGACATTGACATATAGAATCCATGAATAATGTGTTAACTTTATGTCATTCCCCTTTATTGAAAACTGCATTCTTTCATCCTTTTTTTTTCATATACCAATTACTTCCAATTAGAACATGTATAAGCCTTGGGGCGTCAATGTGGCTCCAACCACTGACCTAACATACCTGAATACTGGGTTCAATCCTGAGGTCAGGAAGGTATATATGTCTTGCCTAATAACGATCAAGTTGGTTAATACTGTTGTCATTCTATTAATTCATAGTTCAAACCTTAGCATGCACAGGAGCAGATTTCCCAGAGGATTTTTTTCTCTATATATGTTAAACAAAAAGAAGAGTAACCATTTTTTTCCAAGGCAAAAAAAAAAAAAGGGTAATCTCTGTTTACATCTAAATCTATAGAAAACATCGTTTTCCTTAAAAAAAGTGATGTGAAATAAGGAGAACCATCCCCCCAAAAGGCCATCTTAAATATGGGATGCCCAGAAAAATCAAATTCTATCAAATTGAAAAACAGAAAATTAAATTTATTCCTTATTCATATAAAAAGGAATTTAGCAAGAGCCTCAAATTAGGATTTTGCACCGAGGGCCCCCTTCCAGGAAGGAACTGAAAAGCTCACTAAGCCACCAGGCCATTTAACCCATCCACCAGGCAATGAGAACTGCAAAAGTGATGCGCTTGACTTCCCCAATGGACACCTTCCCAGTGGATTCAGAGCTACGGATTTCCCCTCTCAAAGCAGTGTGTAATTGGGGTCAAGGTTTCTAAATGAGCTTGCAGTCACAAGTGCTTATGCACGAACGGAAGATCAAATGGCTCAAAACGGAATAAAAGCACTTCTCGGAGAGGGGAAAAAAAATGTCAAAAAGGGATCGGGGGCTGAAACCTAGGCAAAATCGGAGGCCCATTTCTAAAAGCTGGACTCACTCGCGCCGACGCCCGCGCCCCGGAGACATAGCGGAGCGCAGGGCCGGCCGCTGGGACCGGTGCGACAGGTGGATGGCCTCGCGGAGCCTGATCCGGCGCGAAGGAAAGAAGGATACGAGGGCAACGACACGCGCCAGCCTATCTTTCCTCTTCCATTAACTCACCAAGTAAACCACCCAGAGAAGACCAGGGAGAGGAAAGGGAAAGGGAAGCAGCTTCGGCACCGCCAAGATAGCCTCAGCGGGAACGGACGCCCCAGAGCCGCGGCATCTGCGCCTGCGCCGACTGCGCCGCGCCGCTATGCCGGTCACGTGACAGATATGCCCCGCCCGCTGACTCGCGGTTCCTCCCCGTCCCCCGGCCGCTTGGTTGGGCCGGAGGGGCGTGGCCGGGTTGTGGGAGACTATTGTGTGACGCCTGCGCATCACCCACGCTCTCTATTGTGGTAGAATTTTTCTTCCCAGATGCACCGAAGAAAAAAAGCAAAATATTTTTTGAGTGAGGATGGGGGGACACTGTTTTCATGTCGTTTTTCCCAAAGGCCCCGGGACGTTCTTACGTATTTCTCAGGCAGGAGAAGGAGTTAGAAAACAGGGACCAGAGAAAAACCAGCCTGTTTCCTAGCAACTGTTTCCACAGCAACCACGCGGCTAACAACGCTAAGCGGTTTCAGGAGTGGCCAACTAGTTTCTTCCTGAAAAGGGTTTGCTACGAAAGGGTCAAAGGGAGATTATCATACGAAAGAGAAATTTTAATTCCTTGTTAAGAGAGCAAGAAAAGAAAAAAGCGGCGAGAAAAGGAGCAGAGACTGGGATAGGGAGCCATAAGTGGAGTAGTTGTTAAGGAATTCTTTGGTGGCCATGGACCCATCCTGCACTTCCGAGAGTATATATAACCTCATACCCAGTGACTTGAAGGAGCCGCCCCAGCCTCCTAGGTATGTGGGTAAGCAAAAGTGACTTCAAACTCAGCGAAGCATGGTGACTCCTTTTAAGGACTTACTGGCTTGAGTATCGTAGGACTTTTAAAATGAAAATCTATTTTTCTTTTAATAAAAGTAACCTTGGGTGGCAACTTCTTAGGAACAGGTGAACAGATGTACCTAGCTTTTCATAATTCACAGAGGTGGTCTGTCACTGTATGCCGGTCATTTTATGGCCATAGTCTCCTGCTAATATGTAATTGATCCAGTTGTAGACGGTGTGGTGTCTGATGTAAAATTTCGCATCGTTGAAAAGAGAAAAATAAGTTTTATCAGTCCGTCTTAGGAAATTCTATGTTTAATTTTAGGAACCCCATAATGTATTTGAGTTTACTATCTCTCTGTACTCTTTTGCCTCCCGTACTGTTGTCTAAATTGAGTTCGCATTTGTTTCTAGGTCTCGGTACTTGAATTAGTTAAACAAAGATGGTGTGCTAGAATATTTTCTAGGATATTTTTCAGATCTTATGGTTTAATGAAAGGAATATAGTTGTATTGATAGAGATTCCAAAATATATAATTGAGGGAAATCTTTGTGTGTTTGTTAGACCTCTGAAAATCTCTGAAACTGCAAAATAAATGTTCCAGATACTCTTCCCTATAGCTGTTTTTTTAAACTCTATTGAAGTATGAGAGGGGAGATAAGGGGAGTCTCATTTTGACTCATGAAACTCACAGCCACTTTAAAAGAACAAGCACCCAGGTGCAATTCAAGGCTAGCCTGGGGTACAAAGGCAGACCCTGTCTCTAAAACCAGACAACCAAGAAAAGAAACCAAGCCTGAGAGCTTTAAAAGTCAAGATGTACAAGTTGTTATTTTGGAGGTGTGGAGTCAATATTCAGTAGTTTTCTGATTTGAAGAGTAAGTGAAGGAGACATCTCCAAGGCTCCAAATGCAACTGTCAACTTCTTGTTACTTGGATAACAGCAAAGTGTAACTCCTTTGAAGCCTGAGTAGCTTAAACCAGAGCAATCACAAACATTGTTTTCTGTTGGCTTATCAAGATCTAGTTGAAGTCAGGCAGGATGTAAATGCTGACACACTTGTGGAGTTTACACCGTGTTCAAGTTTGATCCAAAATGTCCATAGAGTGTACAAGATAAACTTCTTCTCTGTAACACACTGAAAGATTCTGCCTTTTAGGGAACACTGAATTTGAATGTCAAAATATTTTATTAGTTCAACATTCTGTTAATTAGTAAAGAGCTTTACTGTACCTGGGAATTTTGTCTTAAAAAATAACAGTATTCATTCTGTCCCTGCTCATTGTATAACAGTGCTCTAGTACTCTTGCACATGTTGAAGTGGCAGCATAAATTCTTTGGTTTTATTCTGAAGAAATAAGTACCAAAAAAAGGACTTAGGATGAGAAGGAAGTCAGTTTCCCTGTTAGCAACAATGGTGAGAGAGTTTTGACAAGATGCCACATATGCAAACTACTGATTTGTTTTTTAAAAAATGATAAACTATTTCACCATTTTCCTTCACCACACTACTATGAACTTGTTCCCCTCAGTCTTCTCACTAATAGACTTGATCATAAGAAAATATTTAAATGTACTAACCCTGTTTGCATCACTGAATTACTGAATTATATTCAGAGCTCCTGGAGAGTTTGCCACGACTTTGAAGCACTGGCTTAGACTCATCATTGGCTGTACTATGATGTCCCACATGTCAGAGTTAACAGTCTTCTTGCTGAACAGGAATATAAATGCTAAAATGTTGATTTTTCATAAAGCAATATATTACTTGAAATTCTAATGAACATTTCCTATAAATAAGTGGAAGAGATATTTCCAGTCTAAAATAAGTAGACAGCAAATCCAGTTATCTGATTAAAATTACCTGCTATATCTTTATAGTAAAGCCATACAATTTTTTAAATGTAATGAAATGTAGCTATTTAAAAGAATAAGCATAGCTGGGCAGTGGTGGCCCACACCTTTAATCCCAGCACAGGAGACAGAAGCAGGCAGATCTATGTGAGTTCCAGGACAGTCAGAGATACACAGAAAAATCCTGTTTTGAAAAAACAAAAACAAAATATTAATAATAATAATAAATAAAAGAATAAGCTTTGTGTATACTAACATGAAAAAGTATCACACTATATAATATTTAAAAATAAAGTTTCACATATATTTGTACATATATCCATGAAACAATAAGTAATGTAAAAGAGTCCATGAATTTGATAAAGAGCAAGAGGGGTATATGGAATGGTTAGGAAGGAGAGAAGGAAAGGGAGAAATTATGTAATTATAAATATCAAAAAATAAGATAAGTAATTAAATATATAGAAGCAAAACTGAGAATTTTGATGGCTGTTAGCACAATAAGGGGAAGAAAAATTAAAGACAACAACAACAAATTAAAATCGCAATTCATGTAGATAAACACAAACTGAATTTATACTGGAAAATCAATTGGAGAAATGAAGGGAAAGGAACTGAGATTGTTATCCATTTGCAATTGATTTGAAACAAGTGTTACAAATATAGAATAAAATATCAGAGCTTCATGTAACCAATGAGTATGTTTTTGATTCATACACACACACAAAGTACTGATCACATTTTCAAACTAAAAAGGGGATGGCTATAGACACACCCTATTTCACATAAAAGGAAGTGACAAGATTGATGATGACACCTTGACTGCAGTCTTCCACAGACGCTCTAAAGCACAGGTTTGGCCTGAAGTTGTCTTATGAGTCATTCATTTCCATAATGTTTCCAGGTACTGAGTTCATGGTTGAGGAAAGGACCTAAAACAGAGAAACAGTTTGTTTTTGCAAACATATTTATGTATCCACATGAGCATGAATTGATAAAGGTAGGATAACTGACACGGAGAAGGGGGATGTGATCAGAGTGAATTTATACAAACCAGGGACTTCAAAAATTAAAAACCCAAATTAGAAACAGGCCAGAAAGAAACAGATTACCCCAAATTCCCTAAGGTAAACAGCTATATTTTAATGTATTTCCGTTCAATAACATTAGTGCAAACATTTTGATGTTTATAGCTTGGGTAGATGTTATACATATAATTTTCATAACCTCATCAGGTTCTGAGAATTTTCTAAAGTTAGTATTCTACAAAGAGAAATCTATCTGATTAACTTTCAAGCAAAACAAGAAAGAGAACAAAAGAAAAGGGATAGCCAAACTTCTGCTTCCAATCGAGGATGGGGTTTGTTCTCTAACCAGAAATAGCTAGGACACCAGTGAAAAAACACACAGAATGAAAGGTTTCAAACACCAGAGAGTGGACAGCACAGAGTAGCCCCTCCCTGAGAGAAGGACAAGGAATGAGACTGGCCTGCAGTTGCCCTAACAGATGCTCCAGCGACAACCTCCTGGCCAAAGTCCAGAGCAAGGAAACAAAGCACCGGATTATCCCAGAATTAAGACAGTTTGGAGCTGGAAAGACAAAGCAGTTAGAATTCACAGCATGTTACACCAGAGAGGGACTATCTGAGATTCCCTTGAACTCCTTGACTGATAGCCCATGTGTGATGAAATACACTACCAAGAAAATGACCCCCGGAGAGCATCAACACTCACCAGCTGGAGTAGTGAGGTCTCCTGATACACAGAGTGCATCATCAGAGGGCAGAATTGGAATAACACTTCCAAGCTGAAGACATAACATCTAGCCTTAAAATGACCACTTTTCTCAACTAGGACAACTGCATTCCAGACTCCAAGAAATGTTAAAACAATAAAAAAGAAAGAGAGAGACAGAGACAGAAGTCAGGAATCAACAATATAAAATTCACATTACTTGGATCCAATAAAAAATGTACAGGCAAGCCAGGCATGGTGTTGCATGACTTAAACCCCCATACTTGGGAAGCAGAGGCAGGTGGATTCCTCTGAGTTCCTCAGCCTAATCTACAAAATGAGTTGTAAGACAGACAGAACTATGTAGAGAGACCCTGCAGTAAACAAACACAAAAACAACAAAAATGTATAGGCATGGAAAGAAACAGGAAAATATAAGATATACCCTGTTAAGAGAAGCTTTTTCCTTGCTTGCTGATTTGGTTTATCCCCCGCCAGTCGCCTGGGCTCTGCCGCGCCAGCCTGGTTCTAGATCCGCATGAGTCCCAAATAAACACACAGGAGGCCATATTAATTATGAAGCTGTTGGCCTTGTTTGTCTCTTACTGGCTAGCTCTGCCTTAAGTAATTACCCCATAATTGTTAATCTAAGTATGTTTCTTACCGGAGAATAGTTCCCGGTGTCCTACTCCCATGGCGTCACATGTTGACTCTCTTGTGTTTCTCCTACCCAGAGTTCTCCTGGACTCCTAGTCCCTCCCATCTTGGTTCCCTATAGGCTCAACAGTACTTTATTGACATAAGACTTCCCCAACATCTCCTCTTTTCTGTTTAAACAAAAAGAAAGGTCTTAACTTTAACATAGTCAAATTGTATATGACAGAACAGTTATCAAGTAAGAACACAGTTACAACATTTTGTCTATTAACATTTAGCAAGATCTAAAGAAAATATCATCCATCCCATCCTTGTGAGTCTAAAGTTCTATATGTAGCTTATCTCTTATCATAACTAAGGAAAACTATAATTATAGCTATCTGTCTTCAACTCTATCAAAGACCACAGAAGGATAATATATAAACACTAGGATTGACAGAGATATCTTACTGCCTGGACAGTCACCCGAAGTTCCTCTGTAACGTTGGGGCATCCATCTTCAGCCCATAGGCCACAATGTATCTGGAACACTTCTCAGCAAAGCAGGAAATTTCAAACTGTCCATCTGCATCAGCAGTCTGTCAGTCATTTTTCTGTGTCCTGCAGAAAGTCCCGTAGACTCTTTCATGCAGCAGGAACCCTGTAAGACTTAGTTCAGCAGTCACATCCCTATGGGTCCTGCATGTCCAGATTATACAACAATAGTCAAACAGTCTAGGCAAGAGCAGTTTCTTGCCCAAATGGCTAATCTTGCCATGTTGAAAGCAAACTCCATAACAAGTTTCTTCGATGCCCATCTTCCTCTCAGACGTAATTGGTGCTGCCAGGAGCAGACATTTCTCATTGTCAAGAAAAACCCTAAACCATTTTAAATGCCATGTTCTGAAGGTCTTTGAGAGGTTTGAAGACTGTCTATCTATCTCAAATATATTTCTGTATATCTAGAACACCTAACTTACCTAACTATAAATTCTATTATAAGTAACTATCTATAGTCTGTATTCAATTATGCATTACATTTTAAAAGATCAGTATAAGCACAATACTTAATCAAGAGGAGAAATATAAGCATCACAAAATTGACCTTGAATTTGTATCAATAAATTAAAAATAATACCCATACCATAATTCCCCTTTTTACCATTAAAAGGAGATTGGCTGTGATCATTAGCCAATTATAAACAATCCCATTTAAATGAAAACAAAGATTTATAAACAAGATGGGAATTGGGACGTCGCTCATTCCAAACTGCTTCCTGCTGGAAGGGGGCGCTGTTTATACCATGGGGATCATGACAAAACTCAGAAACCTGTATAAGTCCGTATTTTCGGGGTCTGTAAAGCTCCATCATCTTAACTGTCTCAGTCGTTGGAACACCTGGTCCACTGCTTCTGGGGGTCTTGGTTCGTGAAACCACAGAAGCCTGGAAGGAATTCTCAGCTTTTCATTTTCTGTAGAAACATAAGCAAAAACTCCTTTTCCGAGTAACATATCCTTATACTTAAATTTTGAAGTCAAGTCATTTTCAAAAGATAGAAGTTGGATTAATTCAGCAGCATTTATAATCAAGTGTACTTTAGCATTTGTTCCTTCCTTAGCAATCAAAAAACTGAAAAACACAATAGCGTACAGTATCCAGACTCTCTGTGTATTTTCCATCTTTACGTGGCTTATTTATTTATCTAATATTACTTTATTTCTTTCACTTTTATTTATCTTTCTCTGAGACAGGGTTTCTCTGTGGAAACCTGCCTGCCTCTGCCTCTGGAGCAATCCTACCGGCGTGTGCCACCACACCCGGCTTTTGTATTTATTTACTACTTTGCCGTTTCATTTTCTCTCTCAATCTCACGTATATTTTTAAACACACTGTAAACCTTTAGAGGTTTTGTTCATCCAAGTCTGACTTTACTGTAAATCTTTACGTTTTTCTGGCCACGTGTCTTATCTGTAAAACTGTGGCTGTTGTAAACTGCCGTTTTTTTTTTTTTTCAAGATGGCGGGCGTAAGCTTGATTCCAGCTTACTGCCTCAGTCCATGCTGACATCCAGCAAAAGCTGCCACTTCCAGCTGTACGTACACACTTTTCAATCGTTAGCAGAGTCTCTTAAAACAATCTTGCTGTTTTTTTTTTTTTTTAATGCCGAGTCAGGAAGACTCCCGTAAGCGAGCCACGTGAATCTCGGCTTGTCGTTAGCAAAACAGAGCACACCTGAGAAAAATGCTGCTACCAAAAATCTGTGCTTCTCTCCGTTCTTCTGTTTCTAAAATTCCTTTAAAGCTTTTGTCATTCTGCGTGGAAATTCAATCCCACTCCTGATCACCATTATGTTAAGAGAAGCTTTTTCCTTGCTTGCTGATTTGGTTTATCCCCCGCCAGTCGCCTGGGCTCTGCCGCGCCAGCCTGGTTCTAGATCCGCATGAGTCCCAAATAAACACACAGGAGGCCATATTAATTATGAAGCTGTTGGCCTTGTTCGTCTCTTACTGGCTAGCTCTGCCTTAAGTAATTACCCCATAATTGTTAATCTAAGTATGTTTCTTACCGGAGAATAGTTCCCGGTGTCCTACTCCCATGGCGTCACATGTTGACTCTCTTGTGTTTCTCCTACCCAGAGTTCTCCTGGACTCCTAGTCCCTCCCATCTTGGTTCCCTATAGGCTCAACAGTACTTTATTGACATAAGACTTCCCCAACAATACCCTAAAGGAAAAGCAGCCAATCTAAACACCTAGAAATGTCACAAATAAGAAAATTACTAGACAAAGGCATGTAAAGCAGCTATCTTAAATATCGTGTTCAAAGGGATAGAGGGTTGCAGGACTAAGATATGGGGAGAAATGAAAGGGGGAGAAAAGACAAAAGTCTAACTTCTGGATGTGAAGAAGACTGTGTCCAAAATGAAAACAGGACAGTGGGGGGCTTAGCAACAGGGAATAAAGACCAGGAAAGAGAACAGAGCATTGGTGAGCTAATGACAGTGTCAGCCAGTTTGTAAGTCAGGCATGGTGGTGCACACCTTTAATCCTCGGAAGTCAGCCTCTATACTGTCCCCAGGATCAAAACCAGGCCACTGTCAGGCTTGCTGACAAGCCCCTTAACCTGCTGAGCCATCTCACCAACCCACAGATACAGACTAAAAAGCACATTAAAATCAAATGATACAGGCATACAAAATAAAACTGATTAGTGATTGGCTAAACTTTCTATGTAGTCTATGAGAAAATTCTTCTAAAAATAAAGATGTCAAGTACAAGATGTGACTGGCTTAGGTGTGTGTCCCCTTCCTCACCGCTGCTTGTCTCTCCTGCCAAAGCCATGTCCTGTGAGGAAGAGGATGACTTTTCCTGAGACAGGGAGGATCACTCTTTAGTCAAGGGAATAAAGTCAAGAGACTAGCAGTGCCTTGTCGGTGACACAGCGTCTCCAGTGTAGACAGACACATCAGTTTCTGTTTTTAAGGACAGAAGTCATACAAAGTATGTTCTCCAACTACGGTGGAAATTAGAAATCTGTGAAAAGATAATTAAAAACCCTGAATCTCTGAAAACTCAACAAACACACACAAGCAAACTTCTAAAGAAAGACCATATAACAGGTATTTAGGACTGCATGAAAATGGAAGACATCCTTCCCTTCCCTTCCCTTTCCTTTCTCCCCCACCCCCAAGAACAGAGTTTCTGTGAAGCCCTGGTTGTCTTGGAACACATTTTGTAGACGTGGCTGACCTAGAACTCAGTGATTTGCCTGCCTCTGCCTTCCAAGTACTAAGACTAAAGATATGTGCCTTTAAGCCTGGTGAATGATATCCTTTCAAATATTTCAGATGCAGCCAAAGCAGTGCTTAGAGGAAAATTTATAGCTTTAAACACTCAAAAAGTCCTAAAAGATAAAGACCAAATATATTTATCTTTATACCTTAATAATCTTTTTTTAAATAATTGAAATGAAACACTGCTAGTGACTATTAGAGAAAAACTGAATTTGGATTCATTGAGAAGATGTTTAAACTGCTAGTAAAATGGACTGTCTGGGGCTTGGAGATGGGGAGACACATCACTAAGATCAGGAGATGCTAGTGATAGAGGATAATATGGAGATAAATGAACACCTTTGCCCAGGCACCTCCTTCAATCTATAGCTTGTAAGTGCAGTGAAATGAGTCATATCATTAAGCCTTATTATCAGTACAGACATATGTAAATCAGAGATGTATGCCTGTCGTCTTTAAGCTTTAAGCATTTTGCACCAGAAATGTAAACGCTACAACTTTAAATTTTTAATTTCAGGTATACATCAGTGTTTACAGCAACTGTAAAAGATGACATGAAGAAATCCAAAACTGCAATGAAAACTATGGGGCCTGCAAAAGTGGACGTACCTTCCCCAAAGGATTTTCTAAAGAAACATTCAAAGGACAAACCTCTACCACCTAGTAGGTTTAATCACTACTGTTTTAAATATTACAATCGTTGGCAGGTAATTTAGATACCCCATTGTTTTGCCATCAATACATATTAAATATGTGTAGGCAATAGCAACTTAACCTCATAGTGAATGGAGCTTGGGCAACTAGGAGAAAGTACAAGTAGGAGTAGAAAAGGAGACCAAAAGAAGGTAACTTGGCTCCATGCAGACTCTTGGTGGGACAACTATCTTGGGCTACTGCTTGACCTCTCCAAAGAGCCTCCACCCCAACACCATGTGCTTCAGCATCTTGTCCCCTGGCTTGTATCTTTAATTCTAAGCATTTATAAAATGGGTTGGCATCCCAGATACGGTGTCTGGTTGATGGGCAAGGTTGCCCCTCATCTTGACTCCAGCCTTTTTTCCTAAGAAGTGAAAATTACAATAATTGTTATCAGTCGTTGAGCCAATATCTAATTAAATTAGGGACTACTTTAATAACTTCCTTTTATCAAAATTACCTTAAAGACCTTATTCCCAAATATATGAATTCTGGAAATGTATATCAGCCCAAGAAGAGGTTAATCTAACCTTTTAACAGTAATTACGCCCCCCCATAGAAGCAATTTAATCTCACTTGTAACAGGACACCAGACCTTAGTAGGCTCCCAGACATTAGCACAACTGACCCCATGATGGAAGTATCCTTCAGTCTGTAAAACTCAGCACATAGAAGCACTAAAACAAGGCCTAATCCATCAAAGTCCATGGTTTGGGGAAAGTCTCTAACTACTAACCCTGCCTTTTGCGCTTAAACAGCTCACCCCGAGAAAGGCTCAGCGTTACACTGAGATCCCAAACACCCAGTGTGATCGCTGACAAGCTAATAAAACTTTCTATTGGTTTAAGCCGTGTCTGAGCAGTCTACTCTGGTGAATACCCTACAACATCACACAGAAAACAAAGTCAGCTAATGCAGAAATGGATAAAGCCAGACCATAGTTATCATGGTACAGTTAAAATTGAAGTAAGGCCTTCAAAAGAGAGTTACTTAGTTCTTAGAAGCAAAGTTTAATTATTTGACATTCTAGAATAGATAAGTCATTTATGTGGCTATATCAAAATGGCTGGTTGGAATTGTTAAACTGCAATGGCTGTATTAAACAAAGCAGTTCCATCCGCTATAGTGAAGATTATGAAATAAAGTCTGATGGTTGCTCCTTTAGAGTCGTGAGACACGCCAGGAAGGAAGGAGTAGGGAATCTTGGTAACTTGCTAAGTTGTGTGTTGATTACACAGCAATTACTCATTGTAATAATTAGTTTCTGTGAAAATACCCACAGATCACTGGACTTGCAACACCAAGTTTTATTAATTTATTCAATGACTTTGTTATAGTTTTCTCTAAAAAACTTAATTATGGATAATATGATAACATGCTAGAATGTACTTTTATCTAAACTTATTTTAAATGGGAAAACTAAATGTGTTGTTGTAGTCTTTATAATATCCATCAGAAATGTAGTAGTGATTCATCACCATCATCCTCTTACTCTTTTATACTGCTTTTCAACATCAAATCGAGCACATTGCACTTAATTTTATATTTTGATTATTTACACTTGAAATATGATTGACAAATAAAAGGTAATACATATTTGATATACATAAACAAATAAATTTGTGGGTACATATAATATTTTATCTTAAGTATTTTTGTATAACATTAATGAAACCTCAATACCATTGGTAAATATCTGGATGTCCTAAATAGTATTGATGAACAATGTTTATTTTCGAATATTAACAATGAAATGTTGTATTTAACAGAAAAAAAGTTTTATATGGGTACTTCCAAGAAGCCTGCAGTGCCCTTGAGGACTGATCATCCAATCATGGGAATACAGAGTGGAAAAAACTTCATAAACACAAATGCAGCTGACGTCATCGTGGGCGTGGCCAAAAAGCCTAAGCCAATTTATGTTGACAAAAGAACTGGAGACAGGCATGATCTTGAAACTTCAGGACTACTTCCCAAGTACATCAATAAAAAGGTAGTCCTTAATTTGTCAGAGATCTGAGATTCCCAAATCCCGCAGGGGGCTCCTAACCATGTCTATAAGACAGCTACACAATGCGCTCCCTGGATAGACCTCGAAGTCTGCTCAATGCCACAGCTCTGCGGTCTGTGCGCTATTCATATCTAAAGCATGAATGCCATCCTCCTCAACTTTAGTTATTAATGTACTTAGTAACTACAGCCGACATTCTCTGAAAAGTATCAATTATCAGTGAGGTAAAAATGTCGCTAAAGGCAGTCACTACTGTAAATCCGGAGAAACCCACCTTCCAGGAGGTCATGAGATGTGGTCTTTCAAGTGCATCAACTTAGGAGAAGAATGAGAGAACTTAAAAGATGTGGCCTTGAAACCACCCATCCCCTCAACCTCTCCCCAATAAGCCACATTACAATTTTAGTGCAAATGTGTTGATTCGATTGAGTTTGGGTAAAGACTGGAAGTCCTGTAAAGGGATTAATTATTTGGGCCATGGATTTCTATCTGAAAAGGTGTTCATCAGGAAGGGGTATGATTTTATTTGCCAAATGTTATGTAAAAATACAAATCCTGCCCTATTTTACTTTTTTTTTTTTTTTTTTTTTTTTTTTGGTCTTTTGAGACAAGTTTTCTTTGTATTGTTTTGGAGGTTGTTCTGGAACTCTGTAGACCGGGCCGGCCTCGAACTCACAAAGATCCACCTGCCTCTGCCTCCCAAGTGCTGGGATTAAAGGCGTGCACCACCAACGCCCGGCCCCTATTTTACAGAGCACAAAAGTGTGTATGTGAACACATACTAAAATAGGCTGCAAGGTCTTAAATATTAATAACAAATAATAGTAAGCTTTGGCCAGAAACAGAGGAAGGGTGGAAGGAAGAAGAGCTCGAGGAATGGAGGGAGGGAGGAAAAGGAAAGAGGAAGAGAAGAGGGAAGGAAAAGAGGCGAGGGGAGGAAAAGGAGGGGCGGGGAGGAAAAAAGAGGGAAGGGGAGGGGAGGAGGAAGAAGGGAGAGGAGGGGAAGAAAGGGGGGAAGGAAAAGAGGGGCGGGGAGGAGAGGGAGGAATGTGAAGAATGAGTCGAGTAGTCTAGTGATCTACTGCAAACCACCCATGAGAGGAGAAAATGAAACAGCCATCAGGCTGCTTGCAGAGCACAGCACCCGCTCTCTGGGAAACTTCTCTCACCCATGAGGGGAGGAACGCCTCTGGAAGAACTCAGCTGCTTTCTGGGCATTGGCCACAGGCTGAGAACTTTACAGGCTTCTCAGGATGCTTCTTCCTCTGTGGTTCTTGTCACATCATTGGGAAAAGAGGACTCTTGGCTCCTTTAAGTTACTTCTAACCCATTATTGATCTGTTGTTGCATAAACTCCTTCTCCTTTGGTGGTTGTGATGGAAACTGCTGCACTAGCTGCCTCCTCTCTGGCTGTCTCTGTTTATGCTGCCCACATCAATAGGTTTTCCTTTGGAACAGAAAAACATTGAAGTAGCCATCACAGACACATACATGAATGTACTACCTGTGTGTGTTGATCAAGTCATAAAAGCAGCACACTCTTGTTTTCTTGGTGTTGCTCTTCATAGACAGATTCAACACTATCCAGAGCTGTCTTTTTTTTTTTTTTAAGGCTATGATTACTAAATGAGATGGGCAGCATCTCGGTTTGGCTTCTACTGCTGTGATAGACATCATGACCAAAACCAACCCAGGGAGGAAATGGTTCATTGAATCATACAGTTTATGGTCCATCATGAAGAGAACTCAGAGCAGGAACTCAAGCAGGGACCTGGAGGTAGGAGCTGATGCAGAGGCCATTGAGGGGTGCTGCTCACTGGCTTGCTCCCCCTGGTTTGCTCAGCCTGCTTTCATATACAATCCATGACCTCCTGCCCAGGGGTGGCACCACAGGCAGTGGTCCCTCCCATATCAATCATTAATCAGGAAAATGCCCCCACAGACTTGTTTAGAAGACAATTTGATGGAGGCTTACATTTTCTCAGTTGAGGTTCCCTCCTCCCAGATGACCCTAGCTTGTGTCAAGTTGACACAAAATTAACCAGCACCAGAGGATAACGGGAATACAATTCAAGGAAAAACAAGTAAACTTCTTTTATTTTCCTTCTTTCTTTCATTTCTTTCTTTCTTGGGAGGGGTTTGTTTGCTCTAAATGCAGTATATGCTGCTTGTGCCTTGAGACTGGGGAGACAAACTAAAAGACAAATGAACACATGTAGCAATAATAGTGAGCTATCAATCATTTCCAACTCCAACTTGTTACTTGATAACTTTTGGATCTGTGACAAGTCTTTGGGTCGACCATAGGAGTATAGTGAGTGTTAAATGACATTAAATATACTAAGCATCTGATGGTGTCTGGCACCCAATAAAAGAACCAAAGAGAATATACATTACAATAGAACAATTAGTGACTAAATTCATCAGCCTCCAGTCATTTAGCTTGTAGGAACACAAGATCACTGAAGCTTTTGCTCATTTGTCAGAATTTTTTTCTAAAATGCGTAACACCTGTCCCTTTCCTGAACATGATGTGCCAAACATAATCTAACATTTGAAAGGTATTTTTATGATGGGGCAGGGTGGTATGCATGTGCCACAGCTCAGGTGAGGAAGTCACAGGAGGACTTTGTGGGGATAACTGTGAACAGTTTCCATGACTACCAGACCCCTCACTGCCAGTGCCTCAGAGACACCTCCCCTGGCTTCTTCATCTTGAATTGCTTCTGGTTTCATCACTCTTCTTTGCTCTTATTTACTTCAGATCATATACACATGTTATTTTTTAATTTCCCCTCTCAGTATTATAAGGGATAGGTTTCAGAACTCACTTGTGGGTACCAAAATCCACAAATGCTCAGAGTGGCTTAGTGGATGTGTATAGCATACATAATATGTTATGGGCTTTATTTTATCTTTAGATTTCTTAACATAACCAATATAGGCAAATAGTATATACATAATTGCTATACTATGCTGTTTAGGGGATAATAACAAGGAAAAAAGTCTTTCATATTCATTACAGATGTAGTTTAAACTTTTTAGATTTATTTATGTTTTTGTGCATGAATATTTTGCCTGCATGTATCTCTGTGCACAATGTGTGTACCTGCTGGCCATGGAGGCCAGAAGAGGTTACTGGATCCCCTGAAACTGGGGTTACAGGTAGTTGTAAGCCAAAATGTGAGTGCTGGGAGCATAACTCAGATCCTCTGTAAATGCAGTCAGTACTCTAAGCTTCTGAGCCATCTCTCCATCCCCAGATACAGGTTTTTATTGTTTGCCCCTGGGGTTTGACTGAACACGCCTCTCTACATAAGAATAAGGATTCAATGAGGAAATAAACCTTGCTTTCCTACTCTCTATTATTCTTATCACTCAACAAATTCTCAAATACTGATTTGAAAACTGAACACAGAGAAATTGTGTTTCTCTGGATGGTGACAATGCAGTCACCAATTTGAAAGAACCACAGTTGGTGGCCTTACCACCAGTCCATATAAGCAGTTCAGGAGGCTGAAAATGCAGCTTGCCTTTCCAAGTTGCTATGCATGGTACCATTAAGGGTTTGTTCCTTTTTTTTTTTTTTTTTAACTCTTGAGTCCCAGGCATCAGCCTGGGAATCCAGCATGAGACTGATCAAGACCCCCTGAATGTGGGTGTCAGTGAGGAGGGAATCTATTGAGCCTTGGGCAGCAGATCAGTACCCATCCCAAGTATACACACGGACTTTGGACTCCCATAGAACAATGTGAGGTGCACTCTCACCCTGAACTCTTGGGGGAGGGTCTAGGCCCTGCCCTATATGAAATGACAGACTATGCACACCCCCATGGAGGGCCTCACCCTCCCTGGGGAAATGAGGGGATAACGGGGGGGGGGGGTTGGGGGGAGGGCACGGGAGGAGGGGAGGGAATGGGAGAGGGACCTGGAACTGACTTGTGAAGCAACCTCGTTTCTTATCTAAATTTAAACTGGAAAAAAAAAGAAAAAAAAAGATCCCTCTGAGAAATGTTGATGAAAATAACAGTACATGGAATATGGGTGTTGTTGGTTATTTATTGTAGGGAAAATACTTACACGAGAAACGGAAAACCCAGGTTAGGTTAGTATCTACAGCCTTTCGAGACCCGACCGGAACCCCGAAAAAGAACGGAGTGTGCTTTCCTCAGCCTTTTATTCCACACGCTGGTACACACCTGTGGCCATGCCCAAAATGGGCGTGGTCGGCGCCATATGTGCCTAGATCTCTCCCTACAGAGAAAACAACTGTTTTTTAAAGGACTTATTTTTTTTTAGCTCTATATGCATGTGTGTCCTTGTCCATGTGAATTCAGATACCTACAAAAGGGGACATCAGATCCCTTGGAGCTAGAGATAACAGTAGTTCTGCACCCCCTGAATAGGTTGTGGGAACTGAACTCAGATCCTCTACAAAGGCAGTAAACACTCCTAACCACTGAACTTTCTCCCAAGTCCCAGAAAAGCCAGCTCCTAAAAGTAAATGTGCGGTGTGTGGTGATGTTAGTCCCAGCAATCAGGAAGCTGAGGCAGGTGGATCTCCATAAAGTGGAGGCCAGTCTGGTCAACACAGAGAGTTCAAAGTCAACTTGGGCTATTTTGTCTTAAAAAAAAAAAAGGTCTGGACCAGTGTTTCTCAACTTTCCTAATGCTTTGACCCTTTAATGCTCTTCCTCATGTTGTGGTGACCCCAGCCATAAAATTATTTTTGTTACTACTTCATAATCGTAATTTTATTACTGTTATGAATCATGATGTAAATGTCTGTGTTGCCTGAGGGTCTTAGGCTACCTCCTCCCCCGCTCCCCTCGAAAAGTCATTTAGGCAGAGGGGTCACAACCCCCAAGTTGAGAACCCATGGGTCTAGAGCTTAAGACTAGATACTGGTGATGCTCAGAAGAGAAAGAACAAATTGCTACAAGACCTCTCTTCTTTTCCTGTGTGTGTGCGTGTGTGTGTGTGTGTGTGTGTGTGTGTGTGTGTGTGTGTCTTTGTGTTTGTGTGTGTACATACGTGTGCACGTCTATGAAGGTCAAAGGACACTTCTCTGCCTCCACCATGTGGGTCCTGGGGATTGAATTCAGATTCTCAGACTTGGTGGCAAACACCTTTACACCTTTACCCCTGAGCCAACTTTGCAGTCCAGCATCTCATTTTAAGTGGCGAGGATGAACCATCTCTTGCTTTCAGGCAGAGGATGGGGGAGAAAATTTTTGTTTCTTGGGTCTTTTTTCCTTCAGTATTGAAGACAATAAATGTGTTTGCTCTCCAGTCCTTCATTTCCATGCTCACGCACAGAAGACTGTACGCAGGACGCTGATTCTTTTTTTTTTCCTGAAAACTCCCCTCAGGATTATGGTATCACTCCTGAATACATCTGTAAGCGAAATGAGGATATGAAGAAAGCCCAAGAGGAGTATGACAACTACATTCAGGAGAACCTTAAGAAAGCAGCTATGAAGAGACTCTCTGACGAAGAACGGGAGGCCGTCCTGCAGGTGAGCCCTCTGAGACTCGTTGCTCTCTGGCTCTCTAGGACCCATCAGCTTCCACTGAAGCAGAGCTTTGACCACAGTCAACAGTGTCCCTCTGAGTCCTAGCAAAAGAGCACAGAGTAAAGCTTACTCTTTGGAAAGAGAAAGGAAAAAAAACCTAATTCTGAGATTCGTAAAATATTTTATTTCTAATTTGGTGAGTATCGGTTGTAAAGAAACCCACTTTCTCCTATAACAAACTGGTATTTAAAAGGTGAGGAAATATTTACTTTCATTCAGTAAATTTATTTTTTAAAGTACTCATAAATGAGGTATTTTTCACTAGATGGAGCTCTAGAATAATCAAAGCTGTCTCCAACTTACATTTTTTTTCCCTTTCCAATGATTCAACTTTCCAAATTATTAAATAAATGGGTGTTAGGTTCTACATACGTTCCTTCTATTTTTAATAAAGGGGCCATAAGACATATCTCCATTGTAGTTTAAGGAAAGAGGTCTCTCCAAGTGTGAGACGTTGAGAGTGAGCAGGGCGTGGCAGTGTCATTTGCACAGAACATTTATCCAGCACCCACGTGTCCTTTTCTGCCATCATGCTGTCCCTTAAAGATGTGAAAAAATGATCCTTTTAAACATCTATTTGAAAGCTTCCTACCAGGCAATTGACAATATCCAGTTACTTCATAAAACAAGAGGAGCTGATTCAGTAGTAAAGAGTCTGTCTGACAAATGTGGGTACTTAAAAAGGGGAGTGCGACAGCGCGCATTTGTAATCGCGGGGCTCCTATCCAACACGGAAGGCATTGAGGGATGGATAGAAGACTGATAGGTGAGAATCTCATGGGCCAGTTAGCCTGGTCTCAAACAAGGCAGAAGGCAAGGACCAACACCTGAGGTTGTCCTCTGATGTCCACACAGACATTATAGCACATACGTGCCCATACTCATGTACACAATGCACACACACACACACACACCATAAAAATAACTCTTTTATTAATTTCTTTTGAAAATGTTACATGCCATTACCAGAGTCTTAACATTTAATGGATGGCATCATAATCCCCAATTTAAAAATTATTAAATATCCATTTTGTACATAGTATTAGCCTGAGTCATGAAGATACCACAAAAGGTATAAGATAACAATTTTGCTATAGAGAGTGTTGTAATTTGATGGATGAGATATGATCTGTGTAGTGTGTAACCCCAATGACAGGTATTGGGGTTCAAGCTTCAAGATGAAGATCAGAGAAGCAAAGCAGCCAAGCCACAACCTCTTACATCAAGCTCAGGTTGAAGGGGCTGATTCTACTACCTCTCCTCAGTGGCTGGAGAAAAATCCTGAGGCTGACCACTGAATACCCTGCTCCTATCATTTATACCTCTCTAGTGCTGGGATTAAAGGTGTGGGCTCTGTTACTCCTTTAGACTGATTAAATCTCATGTAGCCCTGGGTGGTCTTGAACTCAGAGAGGCCCATCTGCCTTTGTCTCCTGAGTCCTGGGATTAAAGGTGTGTGCCTGGCTTCTATGGCTAACTAGTTTGACTGCTTTGCCCTTTTGATTTCCAGTGGCTTTAATAAATCATAAACAATATATCACCACAATAATGTACCTGGATAGACAGGAATGAGTACTTGTGGGTGTGTGAATCTGAAGTTGAAGGCAGTAGTCATCACCAAAAGATACACATCTTAAGTGGAGCCCCAGAGGGCAGAGAGAAAAATACCCAGACACCAGGGCCTAAAGGGCAGGGGCTTCTCTGTTGAGGAGGTACCACGATGGAATGCTGAAAGGGAGAGGCACTGTCGGGCAGGAAGTGGGGAATTACAGATCATTTAGGGAAGGGGAAGGCTCTTAGCCCGTTATTTTTCCATTATTACTTGGTTTCAGGAAGCATGTGCCTCTGCAAAAGCCAGATCATTATACCTGTATGATGCTGTGGGATGGGAACAGGAAGGACTTCCTTAGAGAGTACCAAGGTTCTCCCCTCCTGCACCTTTCGGCTGTAGTGGATGGAGAGTTGTTTGAGTTTCTGTCCCACCAGGTCCCTCCACCCTTCAGGCCCAAGTAAATACACAGAGACTTGTATTAAGTATAAACTGTGTGGCCAATGACTCATGCTTCTCTCTTAATTATTAACCCATTTATTTCTATTACACTATGTATTGCCAGGAGGCTGTGGCTTACCCATAATCTGGCATGTCACTCCTTTGGTAGCATGGTGTCTCCCTGGTGGCTTCTTTCTCATCTCCCCAGAATTCTCTTCATCTGGTAGCCCCGCCTGTACTTTCTGCCTAGCTACTGGCCAATCAGTGCTTTATTCATCAACCAATAAGAGAAACGTACATACAGAATTACATCCCCCATCAGCAGAAAAACACTTGGACTTCCTTTTCTGGTCATCCCAGAACCTCTCTTGGATGCAGCAATGGCAAAATAGTGACTCCTTCACGGAATGCCTCACTCACTAGTCAGTGTGTAGTTACCCAGTTACAAGCCAATTGCTGTCTCCCCCTATCCCCACAAGCTCTGGACCTTGGTTCCCACCCAGTTCAAAGATGCAGGGTTCTATGGCATTGCTATTGTATGCCCTGCACCCATTCTTCACAAAAGCAACAGTCTCATTACACCTGGAAGGAACCATCTGGAGTAACGATTCCAAACACCTCACTTTACAGATGAGCAGAGTAAATGCAAATATAATCAGTGGGTTCATCTGTGCACCCATCCATTCCCTGACTTGTGGATGATTATATGTTTATGGGAGAGAATATAACACACAAAATAAGCACAGTCCTTTCACCAGTGAACTTGAACTCTAGTTGTACTTGCCCTTGACCACATATTATCAAATCCATGAGTCAGGACTAAAGTCACATCTAAGAAACCTCAGGCTGGAGTTTTCCCCACCACAGACAAGATGGGTGAAAGGGGAAGCTGTGTGAGTCTGGGCTCCAGTGGGGAAGCGGAAGGCACACTCCAGCTTGGGTGGTGAAGGGAGTTTTGGAAGGAAGCGTAGACAGAAGTGAAGAGTAGTGAATGGAGCCAGCAAGGTCCTAAGGCCTCCAAGGCTAGGGACAGGGAAGTCCTGCGCCATCTATCTGCAGGCATGAAGGACAGGTACAAGGGACAGTCAGCACAGATAACAACAGCTGGTGTGTCCACAAGTACGGGAAGCAAGGGGGTAGAGGCCCAACCTCTCCTCTCTCCCACCAGATCCTTTAAACTCGGAGAACAGAAGCACAAAAAGCAGGATAGCCCACAGGATCAGCTGACCCTAGCTGTGTCACATGGATGAAGGTGGAGGGGGCTTGGGAGCCATTGGGTCCAGAGACAGGAGTCAGAGGCCTTTTCTTATGCATCGTGGTTTGCTCTTTGAATTTTTACCTCATGAGGAATATTATTTCAGGTCAAAACCAGAAGAAAGAAAAATGGGGGGAAAAGTGAGAAATAATTATTGCTGCAATAGATAAAAGACTATTCTATAAGATAAAATAAATAAAAATAAAAGGTTTAAAAAGCAGCAAAGAGGTTTCGTCAACATGATACAAAATTATGTTCAGTTCCATCCCTAGCTGTTGGCTTTGAACCAAACACTGTTGTACATTCTAGAAGTTAAAAGCAAACTACCCTTCAGAAAGAAAGCCATGGGGGGTGGGAGGGATGTGCTTCTGGGACAGCAAGTAATATGAAAATATTCCCCAACTCTCTTGAAAACCCTTTGATATTTGAAAGTGTATAGATGTATGCATTTTCCCTCTGTGGTAGGCATCCCTGCAGTGCACTGTGGAAACATGTTCAGGTTTCACAGTGAAGGAGCAGGGGGAAGCAGAGTCCCTCTGTGAACTTCTCTTCAGGAAACATCTCATGTGCTATTAAAAGCTGCACCTACCTGTCTCCCTCTTGAGAGAGTTAAAACCTCGGCAACTATGTCTTCTACCTTTCACCATCCCAGATCTTTGGTTTAATCTGACTCAACAAGGGCCCAAATCGCCTGTCCCATTTCCCCAACCAATGTGTCTTATGGCAGTGCAACCTATCTTTTCATTGCTTTACCTGATACAGAAGCAAATCGGCCGAAACTCCATTGTCCCCCAAAGGTTTCTTCTTACTGTGACGTCCTTGTTACATAAGAGACTTCCAGCCCTCTCTTCCCCACTTGCTCTGCTTAGTGTAAACTACTCGCACAGATTAATGGACATCACTATGACATTTTTCATGCACGCACTTAATGTACATCACCCCTTCCCTGCCTTCTCGTGTCTCTTCCCCCTCCAACTGATCTCTTGTCCTATCTGCTTCCTCACCTTTTTGTCACTGTGGTAGTTTGAATGTAACTGGCCCCCTGGAATCTCACAGGGAGTGGTGCTATCAGGAGGTGTGGCCTTGTTGAAGTAGGTGTGGCCTTCCTGGGGGAAGGGTGTCTCTTATGGGGGCAGGTTTTGAGGTCTCCTATGCTCAAGATACCACCCAGTGTCTCTGTCTACTTCCTGTTGTGTACACATCAACATGTAGCAGCTCCGTCTCAGGCACCATGTTTGCCTGCACACAGCCATGCTCTCCACTGAGATGGACCTAAACCTCGGAAACTCTAAGCCATTACCTCAATTAAACGTTTTCCTTTATAAGAGTTGCCCTGGTCATGGTGTCTCTTCACAGCAATAGGAACTCTGAGAGTTACCAATTTTTAAAGATAGCATACAATGTGGTGGGATTCGGTATGTATTCCATATGTATGTGGCTTTATACTCTGTTCTAGTTTGTTCCCCAATTGGCCGCCCTACTCTGGCCAATCCCTTTTTTCACAATTGTTCTCCCTCTGCTTTCATGTCATATGGTTCCATTGTCCTCTCTTTCTACTGCCTTGTTTAAGATCTCCTCCTCCCACTCCCCCTCAAGACTGCTCTCTAATTGTATGACTTACATACACACACACACACACACACAAATATACCAGTACACATACAACACAACACACATATGACACTTATGCATGCATACACATGCACACATGTATTAGAATTTTATGTCTCTGTTCTCTTTATGAGGGAAAAATGTGATATTTTTCCTTAAAAATCTGCCTTATTTCCCTTAAAATAGTTATTTTTGAATGTTATCCTTCCCTGAAAATGTCATGATTTTGTTTCCCTAAGGCTGAATATACACGTTGTGCACCTTTACCCATTGTCCTTATCCATTGGTCTGTTGACAGACATCTAGCTTAGCCCCTTTCCTAGCTATTGTGAATACTGCACAAATAAACATGGAAATGCAATGATCTCTGTAGTGTGTTTGTTGGCTGTGAGTCCTGCTGGTACCTAGCCAGGAGTGGTGTAGCCAGAGTATGTGCTGTTTCTAGTTTTAGAGAAGCTCCTATAGCATTTCTATAGTGGCGGTATCTAGTTTCTAGTCCTACGGCAGTTTGTAAGGATTCCTCTCCCCACATCCTGACAGTATTTGTTGTTGCTTGTGTTTTTGATGACAGCCATTCTAATAGGGGTGAGATGAGATCCCAGTGAGATTTAATTTGAATTTCCTTGATGGCTAAAAATGATGAACGTTTTTCAGATATATATCGGCCAGCTTTTGTATTTTTTTCTTTTGAGAACTATTTGTTCAGTTTCTTAGCCACTGTACTGGTTGATTTGTGGTTGTTTTTGTTCCCCATTCTGAAAACAGTCTCTTCACCCTGGTGGTTATTTCCTTTGCCATGAGGAAGCTTTTATATATTTTAATTTTATCTTACATGTGTGGGTGTTTTGCCTGTATGTATATGTGTGCACCCCATACATGTCTGGTGCCCACCGCAGTCAGACAGAGTGTTGGATTCCTTGCAGCTGGAGTTAGATAGTTATTTGAAGATAGAGGTTTCTGTCACCCCTGGTCTCAGAGCCGCTTTGCCCCAAATAGACACACAAAGATTTATATACTGTTTGGCCGATGGCTCAGGCTTATTTGCTAGTTCTGTCTTAATTATTAACCCATTTCTATTAATCTATGTATTGCCATGAGGCTGTGGTCTACCTGTAATTGAGCATGTTACTCCTTGGGTAGCATGGCATCTCTTTGAGGCCTCCCTCTCTCTCGCCTTACTCCTTACTCATGTAGCCCCACCTACCTGGCTACTAGCCAATCAGTGTTTTATCCATCAACCAATAAGAGAAAAAAAATATATATATATAATATATATGGGCATCCCCCATCAGTTATGAGTTGCCTTATGGGAGCTGGAAATCAATCTGTGGTCCTCTTGAAGAATAGCAGTGCTCTTATCCCCTGAGTCTTCTCTCCAGACCCTGAAGAAGCCCAATAATTCCATGTAATATCATTTGTCAGTTTTGGAGATCATTTCCTGTGCTACTGAAATCCTTTACAGAAAGTCCTTGCCTATGCTGATGATTTCAAATATTTCTTGTGTATTTTCCTTCAGCAGTTTCAAAGCTTCCAATCTTGTGTTAAGATCTCTTTCTTCCATTTTGAATTGGTTGTAGTATGGTGTGAGCAGTTTCATTCTTTTACACATGGAAATTCCATTTTCTCAGTACTATGTTTTGAAGAAACTGTCTCTTTTTCAATGTATGCTTTTGACACCTTAACCAAGAATTAGGTGGTTATAACTTTGAGTTTATTTGTGAATCCTCTACTTTATTCCATCAGTGTGTCAACCTATATTTTTGCGCCAGTACCATGCTGCTTTTGTTACTATGGCTCTGTAATATAATCTGAGATCAGGTTTTGAGATTCCTCCAGCATCGCTCTTTCTGAGAAGGATTGTTTTGGCTATTCAAGGCCCTTGAAAATTGGAAACTGACACTTAGAGGTTCTGAGTTGGAGGCAGGCTCAGTTAAGCTAGTGAACTCCCCATCCTCCCCAGTCTTATGCTGTTGCTGAGTCTATATTGAAAAACTACAGATGTTCATCAGGCCCGTCATCACTTTGGCAGCTTTCCTTTTCTTACTAGAAATCTCGGCTGACCACAGGTAGCTTTTCATCCAATGGGCTGAGCAGGTCTCTCACCCTTTGGATACACCCTGGATTCCATCCATGGGGTGGCTAATATTCTCGTTTGAGATGGATCTCAAATGTGGACCATCTACTTAATGCCTTGAGAGTGTGAGACGCAGCCACAGCACTGAGTCTGGTCAAGCAGAAAGCTGTCTTTATAGCAGCAAGAACTCCTGAGTACTGCAACCACCATCTGGAGAGATGCAGCTGTTGGGTATATAGACCACACCGGGAATGTCAGGTTTCTGGGCTGTCTGGCACTGAAGGTCAGTAATCATGGCCCAGAGGTTGTTCATACTAAAAGCAATGTGACTGCAGGGCTGTTTTGTGTTGATGAGATCTGTTCCTGGTCCCCAGGGTCAGACTACCCTTCCCTGCATACTTCCTTGCCCAGCTTCCTGTCTCCTACAGCCTAGACTTGTCAGCATCAAGCCTCCTGCTTTCCACTTTAGCCTCCAGGACTTTCCCACACCCTGGGGCTATGGCAGGCCAAACTTGAAGTTCCTGGGCCTATTCTCAGTCCTCAAGAAAGCTTGGTTTTTTAATAAGTTATTGCTCAAGATGCTGCAGCTTGGCTGCCCTGAGTCACCCAGAGTGACACTGTGGGATTTCTCACTGTCTCACCAAAATCTACAGTTGGAACTGCAGCTTGTGAATGCAGCTTTGGGCTTGTCCAGAATGTGCAACTGCCTGTCTCCTATGTGGCTCACCTTTAAAAAATTGCATCTGCTTCCTCTCACCCTGCATGACCCAACTTGGCTTTCCCCTTATTCTTGTGGAAACTGTCATTTTCTCTGCTTGTTTTGGGTGTCCTTTTACTTGCTTTGGGAATTTACAAATATCTTTTTTTTTTTTTTGTCGTTAAAATGGAATCTACTTTTTTTCTTTGTGTTGATGAGTGTACATATATGTGTGAGCATGCTTGTGTGCATGTGTATGCATGTGTGTTCATGCACATATATGTGTGAAGATCAGAGGTCAATGTGCTTCTTTCTCTGTCTACTGTATGTTTCTAGAAAGGGTCTCTCACTGAACCTGGAGTTTACCAATTCAGCTGGGCTAGATGATCTGAAGTTTCTGGTATCATCTTGTTGTGTGTGTAAATAAAATGATCTGTGATCTCACAATGAATAAGAAGTGCTAGTTTATAAAACTTCACTGAATGAATTCAATTAATAGTTTAAGACCATGTTGTCAGTGGAGCCCCCTGGTGCACTGTGATGAGAAATGTAACCAGGCAAAGATGGAAATGGCATTTATAGCTCCTAAGAGATCTTTAATTTTGAATTTGTTGATTTTAGAGCCCATAAAACATGAACTATGTTATTGAATTAGCATGTGTTCTACGTTTAATGACATTCCAACCATGTCTAGAATACATTAATAGGAAGGATAAGCCCTGACTATATGGAAGATGATTCATTCTTTATAATATATTGAAAAGATATATAAAAGGTCATTGTAAAATTGAATTTTTTCTTACAATAACATTTTGTTACATAAAATATAATATGCCAGTCAAAAACATCCAGGCTTCTGGAGTGACTTCTGCGTGGAAGAATAATGATAAAACAGAAAATTCTGGGTGGGGGAGGTGAGATTAGGGGGTTGGGGGATAGAGTGGATAAAGTACTTTTCTCGTGAGCTTGGGGACCTGAGCTTGAGTGCCAAACCCACATAAGAATGCCAGGCGTGGTGACATGTGCTGTGAAGCAGCAACAGTAAGGAAAACCCCGGGGGCTTGCTGCCGTTAGCCTGAGTCGACATGCTAAGCTCTAGGCCAATGAGAGACCCTGCTTACAAGAGGGTACTTTGATGGTCCTGAGGACGACACATGAGATTGTATCCAGCTTCATTGACTTGTATACACACAGCCATGCACACTCATAAATACATACACACACAAATATGAAAACATGCATTAAAAAGTAAAACTTTTCTTATAAATGTATGAAAAAATATTTCCAAAACCAACTTTTACTTGGGGCTATCGATTTTCAGTGTTGATTTTTACCAAAACATTTGTTATAAGCCTGGTTCCACGATCCTCATAACTCTGAATTTACATGTGAGATGCTAAAAACAAGTTACAGCCACACTGACAGTGAAGCAAGTAAGCACTCCCAGCAGGGACAGAGCAGACAACAGAGGGCAGGCCTTGGCCTCTGTACACTGTTTTCTGTTACTGTGGCCAAGTCCGGGACCAACAATGTTACCACGTCTCAAGTTGCTTTTCAGCAGCCTTTTTCACCTACTCACTCTTTGTTACTGGCCCAGCGTTGTCATCATTTCGTTTTTGCAGTGTCCGTGTCACCTCAAGGTCTCTCTACCCTTTGCAGGGGCTGAAGAAGAACTGGGAAGAGGTGCACAAAGAGTTCCAGTCCCTCTCAGTCTTCATAGACTCCATACCAAAGAAAATCCGCAAGCAGAAGCTGGAAGAGGAGATGAAGCAGCTGGAGCATGACATCAGTGTCATCGAGAAGCACAAGATCATCTACATTGCCAACAAGTGAGAAGATCGCTGCAGAACAGAAACAGAAAGAAGGAAAAAAACCCACAGAGGACATAAAAATAAACCCATGCTTTTCCAAGAGGATTATGAAGAGAATAAAAAGTTTTCACCAAAAATGTAGGCAATGTTGAAAGAATAGTTGAATTATTCACTGTACTAGAGAAAATCTTCTCCCCCAGTGTCACAGTTCTGCTTATCAAGAAACCATTAAAGTTTGAAGCTGCATCCTTGGTCTGTAGTCCGTGATGTCAGTTGGATCACTGTGTACTTGTTTCACATAAACATTCTTTTTCCACCTTGAAATGTAAAAACATTTAGCATTTTAGGTTTTTTTTTTTTCCCCTCTTCACCGGGTGGCACCAAGAACACAGTTCAGAAAACCACGCTTGTCAGCCAGAGACTGGGGCACGTAACTTCCTGCTCTACTGAAGTGTTGCCTGTAAGTTACCTCCAAACTTCAGAGACTTGAAACATTTAATCTCAGCGGTCTCATGTTATTTGTAATTATTCTTAACTCTAAATATTTTCAGTATCCCCAACACTATGCGTGATAAAAAGGGTTTATTTAAAGGTAGAAAAATTAAAAAGACAATTCGTGAAAGGTTCCAGACCCATCTGGCAAACTCACTTTGAGGCTAAGCATGTAGTTCAGTAGCCGGGACCTGAAGGAACATAGTGTGTGTTTGGGGGGGGGGGAGGGCACATGACACAGATGACTACATGGGGCACGATGGAAGAGGGAGGTGAGAATGACTTGTGGATTCTCAGCCATCATAAAACATGGAGAAGAAAAGAACAAAATGATGAACAAAGCCAATATCCTGATTTCCGACTATGATGCCCTCTGTATCCCATGATTCCATACAAGTGCATCGCTAAGTTAGGGTCTGTTTTTGTTGGGGTCCTGGGTAAGTACTGATTTAGTGAGTCCCAAAGTTTCTTTTTTGTAAGATTACACAACTTATTAAGCAACAGATTTATGTATCTAGAGGTGTCTTCAACTCAAAAATAAGAAACAAATCTACACATCTAAGAAATTACTTTTTTCATGAAGTTTGTTTGTTTGTTTGTTTTCTCAAGGCAGAGTTTCTCTGTATAGCCCTGGCTGTTCTGGGACTTGCTCTGTATATCAGGGTGGCCTTGAACCCAAAGATCCACTTGCCTCTGACTCCCTATGAAATTTTAAATTAGGAAAATATGGTTAGGCATCAGTACTGCAAACTCTCAAAGCAATATAGCTTATGCTATTTACATCTTTTTTTAACCTATGGATAACACAGGAAAAAGCACAACAGTACTTACAGAACATTTTACATGCCCAGAATTTGAGAAGTTCATTACAAAGCTTGTATACTTAGAGGAGAATGTTTACATGGCACTATTTTTGAAAATTCATCTTAAGATTTGTTTATGAACTTCTTAATTCCTTTATTAAATAATGTAAATTAAAGGGTAGTGCATGACATATACAGAAGATGTTACTTGGTAAATTCCCACTTGTCCAGCTAAGAGCTTCAACACTGAACTCCAGAGGAACTAAATAACCATAATAGAAACCTAGTCCTGACCCCACAGTTCTGCTCTGCTGGAAACAGGTCTATAGGAACCCTTTGCACACATTCAGAACCTCAGACTTATGGAGTGGGCAGGTTCTGTCTTGTTCAGAGACCAAAGGACCACAAAGCAGTCAGCTTATAAATTCTGAGTACTGTTCCAACCTACACTAAGTCACCAATTACAGATTGCTGTAACAAGCCAACCCTAATCAAATAAAGATAAGCTTCTCATTTACCTCACTACTCATGTGAATGACGAGGGAAATACTTAGTTTTTGTCTAGTGGCCTCCTGTGGCCACCAGCCTTCTCTGCCAGGGTTAAGGCTAAGATGTTTGGGTCAGTATTTTGTTAATGAATTACTTACCATGCAGATTCATTTTCAAAAATTTCAAAATCAGTAGCAATACAAAAAATGATGATTTCAGCCTTAGAAATGTTGCGCTCTGGAGTTATGAGTGGGAGTTACTATAAATGATAGTCATGATCAAGACAGTCTTAAATGTTGAATAGATTAGAAACTGTAGCTTTAAATAGATAGGGGTTTTGTTTGCCTTTTATAATTGTTCACTTAAAAATTATAGACCTTTTTCCATTTCCCAGAATGTTGTCTCAGATGAATTTGTTGCATTGTCATAAGCTATCTTTCTACAGAAATCTCTTCCACCATCACAATCAGGAAGGGCCTTCCTGCCACAGACTCTCAAACTTGGGTGATTCCAGTGCAATCCTGCCCCATCCATATGCAATCATGGCCACCCTAAAAGCAATAGGAGAGACAAACACTTGTCATAGACAGTTGACCAGCAAGCAGTCACATTCTTGCCTTTAGCTGTGAATTAAGAGATGCAGAGACTATGACCACTGAGGAGTAGATACCTGTTTCAATATCCACACCATTCTCTCAGCAGACCTGGCTCACCCGTGTTTCTTCTCTAAGACTATGGAGAAGAACCAAGATTTGAGGTGGTCAGACCCTTTGCTTTAGACTTCAGCTTGAATGCTTGAAATACTGCCAGTTTCATTCCAGTAGAATGGACAATCCTTGTGGTGATTTGAATAAGAATGGCCCCATAGACTCATAGATTTGAATACATGGTCATCGGAGAGTGTTACTACTTGGCAAGGATTAAGAGGTGTGGCCTTGTTGGAGGAAGTGTGTCACTGGAGTTGGACTTTGGGATTTCAAAACCTCAAGCCAGATCTAGTGTGCCTCTCTTCCTGCTGGTTGTGAATCCAAATCCAAATGTAGAATTCTCTGCTACTTCTCTGTCCCACATCTGTCTGTGGACTTCTGTCTTATTAGAGAGTCTCTATTGCTGTGTAGAGACAACATGACCACAGAAACTCTTATAAAAGAAAACATTTAATTGAGGGACAGTTAGAAGTTTAGTCTTAAAATTCAGAGATTTAGTCCATTATCTTCATGGCATGCAGGCAGACATGGTGCTGGAGAGGTAGCTGAGAGATGGACATCTGGATCCCCAGGCGTCAAGAGGAGACAGTGAGCCACTAGGACTGGCTTGAGCTTCTGAAACCTCAAAGGCCACCCCCTAATGACACACTTGGTCCAACAAGGCCACACCTGCATCAATAAGGTCATACCTCCAATAATGTCTCTCCCTATGCATCTACGGGGGCCTTTTTCAGCCAGATCAGCAAAGCTGCCATGCTCCCTGCCATGACAGCAATGAACTAAACCTCTGGAACTCTAGGCAAGCCCTGACTGAATGCTTTCCTTTATAAGAACTTCAGTGTTCATGGTGTCTCTTCACAGCAACAGAACAGTGACTAAGGCAGTCCTCTCAGATCCTCAGGTATGGTCCCTTCTGTAGAGAATGACACTTTCCCTTCTCACTGCCTGTAAGTCTGGAAGATCCTCAGTGTCTGTTAAGGCATTGATCCTCCTGCAGTCTAATTTTTGGATATTTGCCCATTTCCCATGTAACTGTAACCTTCTGCAGGGGAAGGTTCTCAAAATTCTTTATTGAGAGCCAAAGAGATGGTTCTATTTAAAGGTAAATGCAGCTAAGTCTGATGACTTGAGTTCAATCCCCAAGACCCACATGATAGAAGGTTGTCCTCTGATCTCCATACATCAGGTGTGGGGTGTGGGGTGTACACACACACACACACACCACACACACCCCCCAAATGTAATTGTCTGAAAAAGCACCTTCATGACTGATATTAGTGAATCAATGCAATTTCCAACCTGATCTGGGGACCCCATGAACATTCTCAGGACCACATCTTACACATGAACTGATATCCATTTGAACAGAATGGTCGCCTAAAAATCAGTCTTTAAGAAATACTTCACAACCTGGAGGTGATAGTGCATACCTTTAGTCCCAGCACTCAAGAGGCAGAGGCAGAGGCAGATAGATCTCCATGAGTTCTACAGAGTAAGTTCCAAGACAGCCAGAGGTGTTACACAGAGAAACCCTGCCTCAGAAACAAAATCTCCCATCTAAATAAATCTAGTTAGTACATGAGGAAGTCATAACCCAAAGGTTAGTTGGGATAGGGTTAAAAAATTGATTATTTCATCTCAACCCCATTAGCTAACATAGCACACTCACTGTCATTTTGAAAACAGTTGTATATTAGGAACCACTGTATTTGTTGGGCATATACAGATATCTTTTTTTAAAGTAGTGTTTGAGGAATATAAATAATCAATAACCACACAAGCCATTTATACTTAGAAACTTAGAGTGTTCAAGAGAAAAAAATTAGATGCTATGCAAGAGAACACTAAGGAAGTTCGACATCAGATTTCTTAGGATCCACATCTTCAGTTAGATTACAGAGTTAGAGGAAGTTGGGAGATTCAAGGAAGCAAAAATTACAAGGAGAAAGAATTCTGATCAGCGAAGATAAAACGCATGATAGAAGCTGGAAGCTACTGTGCCTGGATGGGGTTTAAGGCAAAATATACCACCTGAAGAAGGAAACAGGACCAGAGTGTTTTGTAGGTGTAATGCAACCAATTTTCAGTCACTTGCTACATTTGGCAGACAGTGGAAGATTAGGTGAGCTCAACTGATCACCAGATGGAGAAATCAGTGGCATAGGTCTCAATAACAAAGATACAGAGTAGCTGACAGCTTTGAGATACATTTATGAGCTAAAAATACATCTTGGTGAAAGAGAGGTCTCAAGAGTAACAAATTTTAAAAGCCAGGTGGAGTTGGCGCACACCTTTAATCCCAGCACTCAGGAAGCAGAGGCCTGTAGATCTCTGTGAGTCCCAGGCCAGCCTGGTCTACAGAGCTAGTTCCAGGACAGCTAGGGCTGTTACATAGAGAAACAAAAAGCAAAACCAAAAAAGAGTAACAAATTCCGCTCTGAGAAACAGGTGACAGGGATAACATCTTCTGAATGGAGAAAAACTAGAAGAGCTTGGAGGAAGATATGGAGGGGAGACAGAGGTGTTATGGTGGACATTATGACAATTTTGTGACATCTACTTGGAGATTTATACTGACGGATTAAAGGGTAGACTCACATCCACACCAGGAAAATGGGGCATGAGCATGAGTCAGGAAAGAGATCTGGGGAGAGCTGTAAGTTCAGCAAGACATAGGCAGGCAAGAGACTGTCCCCTGGGGACTGTCACTACTGACAGGTCACTAATGAACTCTGAGCAGCTCTTCCATGAGGTC